TAAGAGCCCGTGATCCGCGCGATCGCCGTGGGGCCGGAAGAAGAGATCGAGAGCAGAGGGGTGCAGCCGAGAAACCACGAAAGCTTCTCTTTACCGCAACAATGGCGGCGCGCCGATTTTAAAAAGATCGAACGAAGATTTACCGTCACTTTCACACCTCACCACGGGGTCGACCTTAAGACCTACAACAAATGCCTTATGGGCGTAATCTTGGCCGGGGCCCTCCCGCTACACGGTATATGCAGGGACCCCTGCGCCGGGCCCTATTATGATATCCGCGGTATTGTCGAGGTGTCGAATCTGTCTACAAATAACCACTAGAGAAATGGTTACTCGGTCCTCGCCACTCTCTTTCGCTCCCTCGGGCTCTTCCCTCCGTTTCTGCTCCCTTTCGCCACAGGGACGTGTATATCGCTGTCTCTCGCTCCCGCTCGCTCCGTTCGTCGCTAACCCCTCTTACCCCCTCGGTCGCCGTTCTCATTCCGCGTCTCTACCATTCAAAGTGGACTACATTATTTCGTTGTAAGGCCTCGACCACGCCGCATTATCCTAAACATCTAAATCCGGACAGCTGGAGCTCTTTCAGCGACTCTCAACTTAACCCTCAGGGGACATCGCATATTTCTAAATTTCTAAAACGACTAGTGAAAACGACTTTTTTCACACACACACACACACACACATCACTGTATGCTTAACAAAAGGTAATATTCGCAAATAATGTTTATGTGATTTTTGTAATTTAACGATGTCAATAATGAATGTGATAATTACCTCCACTTGGTCATTTTAATTTTTCTGTAAACCTGAAACTTTATTAAAAATCCATTTTCTTTCCTCGAGCACGATATTTCATATTGTTGTATGAAGTATTTACATTAAAAAAAGTGGAGAGCAATTAAAAATGTGCTTCGCAATTATATTTGCATCGACTCGTCCTCGTCTCGAGAGTTTATACTATATCTTAACGTGTCGACGCGATGAGAACCACTTCCTAATGAATGCGCCAGAGGTGTCAGAGCAGCAACTGTCAAAACACGACCGGCAAGACGGCGACCGTGCCATCGAGTGCACGACGGAGATAAACGACAGCGGAGCGAGAGAAAGACAGGAACGGACCTTTTCACGCCATATTGGATATACCTTCAAAACAGTGCATGCCACCGAAGAGCCTATCGATAATCGCGCGACACCCATCCCTTTATTCGACCGTATACGAAATTCCCGCAGGCGCGCGTACGTTGCGGACAAAACAGACAGTTGTTGCGGGGCAGCGTTTTTCAGTCTCCCTCCCTTTTTATCGCGCCCTCTTGTCGAGTTATTGTCGATGCGGTCCTCTGGTTAAGTAAACTAACGTTTTTCCACGTAGAGTAGACCAAAACGACTTCGTTCAGTGTTTTTTCTGCCTTTTTCCACTTTTTTTAGAGACATAAATAATATATGAATAAATATATAATAATGTTCGACTATTTTGATCAACACTTTATGTCGCGTATGGATTTCTATAAACAATGAAAAACAACTTTTATCTTTCCGCAGCTGATGTTATTACCTTCCGTCAGCTTAAAGCATGCTGGCGAAAAGATGAATCCATTGATTATACATATTTTTTTGTATAAAAAAAGATTTTTACTTGCGTTTAAAGTCTGTATTTTTTCTTTTTTAAGATTGATTTAAATTTTGCTTGCTAAATTGTACTCGCATAATTTATTTACACAAGTGTCGTGCTACCTTTGTCACTCTCTGAGTGTCAAGAAAAATAGAACGACGATTGTGCGTCGACTTGTGTCATCAGATGGAGGAGCGCCCTAAATTATAAAATCTTGATCATTTTAAAATCTTCTCGTGTAATCCTCGATAAGAAGCGAGGAAGGATTTAACGTATCGCAGAAACAACACGTTGCCACGTCGGACACACAGGTTTCATGATTTCTCTTAAAAAGTCACCGGCTGAAAGCCCCGCCGCGACAAGCCTGAGGAGAGTGCTATACGTATAAAAGTTCGCGCGTCGCTCCATTCCCCGCATCCCGGCGAAGACTCCATCTTCGGTGCCTGGAAACCTACCCAGCTGCCGAGCGCCGGACGAGAAGGGGAGAGACGAAGGGCGGACGTGCGACAGAAGAGGAAGAAGCCACGAGAGATGGAGGGCAGGGGAGGGGAAAGAGGAAGCGAGACGGAGACAGAGAGAAGTGGTGTCGCATGTGGAGGTATCAGGCAGGGTGGAGTCGACGTTGAGAGAGAACTTAGGCGTGCGCCCTGAGCATATCGGCTTTTCGGGAGAGAGCCTTGCTCGATGTTCCCTGGTTCCTGGTTAACCCGCGGGATCGGTTACAAGGCGACCCGGCCAGCCGATTGGTTCATTTTGTCAGCGACACCCGCCCACACCGCGTTATCGCGCAACCACTCCGTCCGTCTGCCTCTCTCTCTCTCTCTCTTTTTCGTAGCTCTCTGTTTCAGCCGCCTCTCCTCTGCTTCTCTCTATCTCGTCTCCATTCGCCTCTCTTCCTCCGTCTGTCTCTCGTCATCGATAATCCGTTCTAACACGCGTTTCGTGCCCAAACTCGAGCCTACCCAGGCTCGCTTTTGACCTTCGATGAAAAAGAAAAGGGAAGAGAAAAAAAAAAAAAAGAAAGAAAGAGTGAAATGAAAGATCGTCTGGACACGACTCTAAGATTGTTAACGGCCGATGACTCGGCAATTTTTCAACGACCTGGCGTGGAAGCCGAGTGTGCGACGTGCGAACCTGTGGGAAGCACGGGACTATTTTCAGCAACGCAAAACCGACGTGCACCTTCTTGCGCGCGGGTATCGTTTTAATCGTGGCGCGACACGCGAGCGTAATGAGAAATTGCTAATAAGGAGGCTTTATAAATAAAGCAATAATTATACCATTTCGGTATATATATATATATACGCATGCATTTTTCAACGTCGTAACAACAGAGAACGCGAAGGGAAAACGCGTATACGTGTTCCACTTGCGATACAGTGATTTACGTTATCACGCGGGATATATCGTGTGTCCCGCGCGGCCGTTGTCGAATCGCGCGTGGGATAAATGTTAAGCCATTTTAATGCGTCGATGCGTTTAACGCGTTTCGTGGATTATGCGAGGAAATTTGCCACACTCCGTTTAACAGGCCAGGGACCGGATAGGATGTATAATGGATGCGAGGATGCGGACAAAATACTCATGATGGTCTGTTGTAATGTCATAATAATCTGTTAATATATTTTCGCGCGAACGTATGTACAGGCGCAAATAATAATAATAATAATATTAATATTAATAATAATAATAATGCTTCATTTCTTTTTCATATATTTATATATATATATATATAATTTCGTATCGGTAGTCTTTAGGTAAATTGCGTGAGTCTTTACCTATAATATATGTATATATATATATATCTCGTATACACACACATATATATACAACATATATATATGTGTGTATATTTTGTGTATAGCGTACGATTGTTTGTAATATGTTCATATTTATAAGACGGATTATACAAGAATTTTGCTAATCGAGTCTATCTACAAAGAGGAGGGTGAAAACGTGAGGTTCGCTATCGTCTCGCGCTTAATAGGATCGATTAGCCATACTCGGCCTCGAAAGTTCTCCTTCTACGCTTCCTTTTTACTCCCAGAGTGTGACGCAGGTCTTTCCCAAAGAGCCAGGCGATTAATTGGGGGGGGGGGGGAGGAGGAGCGTAAATTGGCTCGTTCGGGTATCGCACTCTTTTCTATAAAACAAGTCGCGTGTTCTTTTTTCTCTCTCGTTTAAACCCAAGCTGTTCTTGCAGTTTTATCTAAAGTATGAAGAAAATAAAAATTGTGAGGAAAAAACACTCGAAAGGAATAGAAATTTTCGTCTCTTCTTATATAATATAAACAATAAATTAGAAGAGAAAAGTCGCAGAACGTGAGATTTATGAGAGTGTACCAGAATAATTTTTGAAATAAATAATGGCATGTATATATTTTGTAAACAAAAATCATAAATGAAAATTACATAGTTAAGTGGGGAAAAAAGGAGAACGTGTGATTATATTTGATCGTTTGCTTTAGAAAATCTGGAGTTCTAGTATAGATTTATTAGCACAGGAAAGAAGAGAGCTATTAAGAGAAAGGAATGGATCTTATTGGTGACCTCAGTAACATGATTCAGCACAACTGTTGTGGCATTTTCCATTTCAAAAGGCAAAAAAGCGAAATACAAAACGAAGAAGAAGAACTGCTTTTGGGTGGTAGAGAATATTTTGTTGCGGCTACGACAGTTTCCAGTTTCTCAAATATCGATATCGTAACGCAGTGGTCTCTGTCTGTAGCTAGGCATTAGAAATTCGTGTTTTCCGTGCATCGAGTATTACCGTAGCGAGTCCAACTTCGAGTTCTCTCGCATTTTGTCGCCTCGTGTGGGTTGGTTTGCCACTTCGACGTCCGATGCCGGCAAAATGCAGGATTTTCATATAAGAAATTAATATTTTGTCATAGAGAGAGACAAATTTGTGTAGAAAGGAAATTAGAGTTTCTTGAAAAGAATTCTTTCAAATAATTTCGAAATCTCAAGAACGTGATATTGAAAAGAAACTTTTAATCGCATAATTCTTTCGTTTCTTCGAATCAATAAATAATTTCCTTATCAAATACATTTTTGAGATTGAAAGTAACTGAAACATTCGACACGATTTTATGTATAACATATGCTATGTACAAGTATTATATATTATAATGCAGATAACACAGAAAAATGGAAAATAAATATACTCTCGAAAGCGTTTACTTCTCTCATGAAAATCCTGTACAATTCGCGCTGGTTGATCAATCAATTCGGAGACTATTCACGATAGAGAGTATCAACTAGAAAGCGGCGCTATATTTACAAACTATAAGACTCACTGCATCCGGCTCTTGGATTTCGATGAACGGACGAATTGGGAACGTCCAACGGAAGTTATGTACACGCCCTGATCGTTCGATTATTATTATTATTTTTTTTTTTTAATCCGAGAGATTGCACTTACTTAGCGGATTTGCACTCACTTTTCGAAACGTCTATCTCCGCATCTTATAAGAGCGTCCTATCACACACCACCAAATGAAATTCTTCATAGTGTAGTAACTTCTCTTGTCTTCGAGTAGAACTTTCGGCAAACTGTATCTACGATGTACTGGTATCGTTGATTCTTCTTCGAGTACGTTATTTCTATAGCTCCTTAAATCTGTTTTTTCAGTAAAGCTAACCGTGTTGTCGTGGAAGAAAGCCATCTTGCTAGATACTGCTGGTTCACATCTTGCATCTATCCTTGAATAATCTCCGTTCTTATCGTCGGTCCTCTCACGAAACTGTGAAAAAGTCCCCCTCAGAATGTTGGATCGGCGATACCACGCGCACACTTGTAATTTTTCTAGACACAACCGATTCTTCCCTATGCTCCATGATGACTCCTCTCAAAAACCCCCGCCTTCACAACACCTCGAAACTCTCGTTCGCGACGTCACCGCACCTGTAGCTCTTTTTCGACATTAAACGATTATTTGTATCGACGGCGTGCTGCGATTCGTCGTCCCTGTCGTATCACGCAGGCGAGAAGGGCCTATGGATCTGCGGTCTCGGATTCGCCGGTGGTGGCGTTGCGACCCTTATCAACCCTTGACCTTGGGACTGGCCCTGAGGCGTTGGTTGACGGGGAGGTGGGCTTCCTCGAGACGAGGGGGTGTGCGGGCTAGGTACGGCTACCCTCAGCGGACCGGTGACCGATAGGTTTGCCGCCATCAACGGCGGGCTGTGGGCCTCCGATAAGCTGTCCGAGAGACGAGATAACCCGCCGTCCGATAATCGCGACGTTTCGGATATCCTAGATATTCCCTCGGACAGCTGATGCTGAGGGTGCGGGTGGTGCAGCAGGCCTTCGTGCGGATGCAATCTCGGCGGCGGCAAACCCAGCGAATCCGGCAGTCTGTAATAGAGTAAAGAAAGAACTGCATTTTCTCTGGAGAAAATACAGTTTAGCGGAATCGCGGTCTATTATGCGACATCTAATCATTGTTATATATAATATATAATATCAGTTCGCAGTTTTAATTTACACGAATGTATAAATTCTTGGATAGCTCGATAGAAACAATAAGATATCTCGAAAAGAAAGAATTTGTGTGAAAAGAAAATCAGCTATAAAGCTCACCTCGTCGCCGGATCACCCCTGGGTCCTACAGCCTGGAAAGGACTCGACTCCGCGAACCTGAAAATCCCACCACCCGGCATATTCGGATGGTTAGGCTGCGGACTGTGCGGTCCGAATCGGAAGCTCGTCGGTGGGAACTTGAAAGCCGTCGTGTGGCCGAATCGAAAGTGCGTCTGCGTAGGATCGAAGCGGAAGTTCAAAGAGGGTGGTGGCAAAGGTCCGAGTGAGCCAAGGGGCACCGGGGACGGTTGGTGGTTCGGTGGCGGCGAGGAACTCGGCGATGGCGGTGATGTTCCTCCGAGGGAAATGTCGGACTCTTCGCTGCTGCTGCCGCCGGGTCCCGGGCTCAGAGCACGCCGCGCGTTTCCGTTTCCTTGACCCGACTGTTGCTGCATTCTGCTGCAAATAACGCGTAATTCGCGGTTATTAACTGATATTGTCGGGGCGTTAAAACAAGATTTAAGGACCGTTAAATGGTCGTCGCTCGATAAGAGGATTCAATATTTTAATAAGCGAAGGGAGGAAGAGACAACGAGTGATTTAGCGCAGAAGTGAAACTTGGGTTTGTATAAACTTTAATAAATAATACTAGGCGTATTAAATAAGTTTCCGCCGTTTTTTCATCAAAAATTGGGCATTTATTGTGAAAGAACGGTACCTAATGTTTTATTCCAAGTATTGTCCATCGCTAGCCACTACTTTTTCCCATCTTTCTGGTAATTGGTGGATTTCACGTCGAAAAAACAAAAAACTACGTTCTTTGTCTTTGACGTCAAATTCACCGTTCTTAAACTTTTGAAACCACTCACGGCAACTTCTCTCACTTAAGGCAGCCTCACTATACGCTTCTACAAGCAATTAATGCGCCTTAGCTGTAGATTTCTTCAAATTAAAGAAGCTCCCGCAAATGACGCTTATTCGGCTCAAAACTCGACATTTTCACACGAAAAAAGATACTATATATGATGCGGATACAAAATCGCTAATATTTCAAGGTTATGTTGTTGCCAGAAGTCCAACCTCACGATATGACGTTTTACAGCAGACAATTTTAACCATAACATCCTGGTGTCGCCATCTTTTGTCAAACGGCGGAAACTTATTTATACTCCTAATAACTACAGCGCGAGAAATCATAATTACAATATGGATACTCTCTCTCTCTAAAAATTCTAAAGTCGCGATACACGATGTTATTCCAGCTGCCGCATTTAATTTCGAAACAAAAAGGATAAAAAGAGAATGAAACGAGAAACGAGCATCGTCGACTGCACGGAGTCTAAATCGGTTATAGCTTTTCAACAAGGCGCGTGTGGTCGCGATGGGAATTTTAATTTGTTCCCGCTTTAGGTGGCACATAAGTTGTGGACGTGGTGGATACGCGCGCGCGGACTGAAAACACTTTGTTTCCAGTCATCGCCGCGCAGAGAGCGCGGCCGTAATTAATGAGCGCGCTCATCCTTCCCAGGTGGAGGCGGCCGAGGATTCACGGGAGAGTAACGACGATCTCCCGACGACGTGGCTCTCGCATAAAGGAGGGGGATCCACCTCATTACTCGGCAGATCACGTGTAGATATGGGAAAACATGGTAAACTTCACACGCGCGCGAAATGACGAATGGCCGTACGTTATAGGGTAGCCGAGGGGTGTCGGGTGCGTATCGTCGGAACGGGAAAGATATTAAGCCGATCTTACGCCACTGCTTCGAAAAAAAAAAAAAAAAAA